AATTTATTGTACATGAAAAAAGAAAATTAACTTATTTTTTACTAAGTTAAGTTACTTTTTTTTCAAATTAACTTTTAACGAGTTAAATAAATAAGAAAACTAACTTTTAACTTTAAACTTAACTTACATTTTTCTGTATTAACTTAACTTAACGAGTTAAAATAATTAGTTAACTTGCCCAGCCTTGCCCTTATTCCATATAGTCTCTGATAAAATGTAGAATTCACACAATAACTATAATCACATGATATGTTATTTATAATAATCAGTTAAGAATTTATAGGGATTGTTTTATAGGCCCTTATTCCATATAGATTGTAGTCTCAGATCAAATGTAGAACACAATAACCATAAATAAATTATCGACAATTTTTCTTATAGCTTAAAGGATATTGTGTCTGAGAGAAATGGATGCAGTTCAAAAGCAAGCACTAAAATATGAACCTACAACGTATAAAAATTGTTATTACAAGGATGGAGTATTTGAAGTCCTTCAATCTTTACGCAAGTATGTTATGAGTAGGTTTTGCCTCTAGAAAAATAACCTTAAGTTGTACATTTTTATTTTAGAAATAAGAATTTTTGTGATATAAAGTTACAAACGGATGATGGTGAAATAGTATTTGGACATAAACTTATTTTTATATCTGCAAGTCCATATTTCCATGCAATGTTCACAAGTTTCCAAGAAACTAATAATGATCATGTTAATATTAGAGAGCTAGATTCCAAAGTTTTACAACTTTTAGTAGATTATATGTATACTGGMGAAATCACTGTCACCCCAGAAAATGTACAGGTAATTACATTTGTGTATCATAACTTGGCATATGATTGGTTAAATATATTATACTACAAAAATTGCTTAATATTTGTTATTTCTCTAGGTTGTGTTGCCAGCTGCAGATCTCTTACAATTAGATTATGTAAAGCAGACATGTGTTGAGTTTTTAACAAAACAATTAGATCCTTCTAATTGCCTTGGTATTAAAGCATTTGCTGACATATATAACTGTAATGAATTGTTATTAAACTCTGAAGAATTCATTAAAAGACAATTTATGTATGATCAATATAACTCAATTTCCCATTTCTGTCCGAAATTTGTATAAATTATTTTGATTATTTTTCAGAGAAGTGGTTAAATATGATGAGTTTCTATCTTTATCTTGTGAAGAAGTGATTAAGTTAATATCATGTGACGACATTTCTGTTCCATTTGAAGAAAGAGTAAGCACACAGAAATCGATATCATTTTATACAAAATATACACAGTAGCAGTAGTTTAAATGATTTATTTATTTTAAATCAAATATTTCAAAATTGACATTATTAAAAAGCGTTTGTCACATATCTGAATRGAACCAAATGCTTAAAAATATATGTAAAAAATAGTTTTTGGCAATTTAATTGTGTAAAGAATCCATATCAAGGCTGTAAAAACTAATAATTAAGTTATTTATTTATTTAGGCATTTGAATGTGTCATTAATTGGGTAAAACATGAATTGGACTGTAGAATAGATTTTTTGTCCGATCTAATGGAACATGTACGTTTGCCATTAGTCTCAAAAGAGTATTTGTTAGATAAAGTAGTTGATGAACCTCTTCTTAAAAGTAATCCAAAATGTAAGGATTTTTTTCATAAAAATGACTATTATATCTAATTAATTATTATGATTTTTATAGGTAAAGATTATGTATTTGAAGCATTACATTTTAATCTAATTAAGTCAGTAAATCCTTTTGCTGTTCCACTAACTGTGCGGAGTAAACCTAGACCTAGTAAATTACAAAAAGTATGAAACTCTTTTTATTGATTTACCTTTCCAATTATTAATTTTATCTATTTTAATTTTTTCCAGGTGTTTTTGGTGGTATKTATGCGTTTTTCAGATAGTAAGTTATTTGCAAACTGGTATAACCCAGTAAGTGACGTATGTCGTATTGTACCGGAATTGAATATATTATGCAGTACCATTATTCCCATTATTGGCGTTATGAATGATCGATTTGTGTTTGCTGTGGGTGGAGATAATCCTCGTTCTGTTGAAATGCTGGATGTATCTTCACAAGATCTATGTTGGGTACCCAAGAATGAATTGTTAGTTAGTCGCGAATATTTAGGAATTGGTGTATTAAATAATTGTTTATATGCTGTAAGTTATATTAATGTAAAACTTATTTCATGTTATAAGTATATCATTTTATAATAAATGTTAGGTTGGCGGATTGAATATTTTTTGTTTAAATAGTGTGGAGGTTTTTAACTTCTGTACTCAACAATGGAAAATGATATCTAGTATGTCTGTTGCTAGAAGTAATCTTGGTGTAGGAGTACTCAATAATCTCATATATGCGGTAAATATTTAAACCATTTTAATTATGTCAACC